AATATCCTTTATGGCTTTTGGGTTTCAGTGCTAGTTGTCTGTGCCATAGATGGATATATTTGTTGTGTGGATTATGATTGGCTGTCTTGACTTGTTTGTCTGCGGTGATGAGTCTGTACAGGTGTTCATCCAATTTTCCTTTTGCATGGATTTGCACATTCATCAACTCGGAATTGAACTGTGAGAACGTTATTAGCAAGGGTTTTCACTGATAGAAGGCTTCCTTTGAGGTATGGGACATACAGCACATTTTACACGAGGATACTCTGCTTATCCCCTGACGGTGTATCCCCTTACCTTCTCCAGTAGTACTTTTCCAGTTTGCTAGGATAACTTTGTCCTTTGCACTAAAATCAATTTCTGTGAAGGTCTCATCACTAGTCATGTGGCTTGTTGCAGCTGAGTCAATACACCATCTGTGTGATATACTGTTCTCAGTCACTTTAAAGGAAGCACTCTATGATGTGCCCGCAGCTTCCTTTGTGGCTGCCTTAGCTCTTTCTCTTGTAGGTGCCTTTTACTTTCTCTGCTCGGCTTTCCAGATTGAACAGTCCTTTTTCAGGTGACCAGTCATTTTACAGCAAAATCACACTCTGCTTTCTTTGTTTTGCTTTGCACTCTCATGCAACTTAATGTTTTCTCATTTTCTTAATTGTGCATATTTTCTTTCCTTCTGTCATATTCATCAATTCATTTTCCTTTGACGTATTCTAGTGTTAGTTCCTGCTCAGATCTGGTTTTTAGAGCATTAATAAAAGCACTGTATGACTCTGGAAGGCTGCATGCATTTTTTCCTCCAATTGCACGTAGCTGTTCTAAAGTTTCCAGCATGGCATTCACATGTTCACGCATTTCCTGGCCTTTTTCTATCGTCATCTTATATAGCTTGTGTAACTTGTGTATAGTTTACTGTTTAGGTTTGAACGTTCATGCAGCTTTTGTAATGCAGTCCACATACCCTTAGCTGTATCATCTTCTCTTGTGTGGATGAGCTGGTCTTCTTCCACTAGCAGACTTATAATTGCTTTTGCTTGCCTGTTCTTCTTGTCCCATTCCTCCGCAGGTCCATTACTGGGTCTGTGTGTACTCAGTACTTGACACAAGTCTTTCATTGCTTAACAGCATTTCAAGCTTGAAAGTAGCTTGGGTGCCATCTTCCAGTAGCTTGGGTGCAACACTTGTTGACTTGCAGTAGTCTGTTTAGCGCCTGGGCCCATAACCTGTTGATTATGTGTTTAGATGAAGCACTGAGATCTTTTGGAATGCTCAATTAAGTTTTACTTGCTTAGAAGAATATTACATCTGAATACAGCATTGTGAGGAAAACATATGGATAGAAAAAACAGCTTCCTGTATATCATAGATAAGCATGCACATAGAGACTGACATTGCACTACAGCGCCATCTACAGCTCAAAAAGACATATCAGTATATGCTGGTGTATTTCCAACAAAATAAAGCTTCTGTTTCCAATTAGAGGAGCTGTCTATCTAGCGTAGACATAAGTAGATTGAAAACTGGAATAGTACCTTCTTAAAATGAGGCAACAAAGACTGCAAGTTATAGTAGCCTTCGGTTGATGCTGTGGACATCAAAGTGCCTTCAAGATCATGGAGTTTAGTCCTGCTCTCATTGCGCATGAATACCTGTGGCTTTATATCTTTAGCTACCTTACAACTTCCTTTCTTGAATTTACTGTTTCGTGCCCACCCTCACTCCCTTTTTTTTTTGTTTTGTTAGTTCACTACATAAACCCATGGTGCCCAACAAATGGCCTGCCAGCATTAAACATGCAGCCCGCTCTGCTTCAGACCTCTAATCAGGTCTCTAGAACAGCAGGCTGCATGCTGAGTGACAGCAGCTCCAGCCGGTTTTAATGTTGGATCTGCTAGATGTCAGTAACAGCTGCAGTTCAGCATTAAGCCTACTTATGCTATTGAGTGCTTCATTCATAGTAACTATCAGGTAAGGTGCCGCGTGCCAGTGGAATTTGTAACACCTCAACATCAGCTCTCGCCCTAAGTCCATCTATGATCATCTCTCTGCTCTGTGTATAAGGCTTCATGCACACAGACGGCTCTGAATTTACATCCATATACACATGCGGCTGTATGAAAGAACTGGCATATACCCGTTTACAACTATGAGAAGGAAAACACACCAGTATTTACATTGTATGGGTTCAGCCACCCATGCACATGAGACCTAAGCATGAATTCTATGAATTCTTTCCACAGGAGGAAGCTTTTAACTGTCTGTACTGTGTGTCTGATATACAGTTCAAATATAAACTACCTATATGCTTATAGAACATATTTCCTGGCATTCTGTGTTGTTGATGTACCTATGCCTAGGCCATCTATTTTGTTTTGCTAAAGGAAACCTACAATAAGTGTAAAAAAACAAAAATAAAATACCCTCTCTAACCCCAAGGTTACAACAAATATGTTAAATGTGTTTCACATAAAGAGCATTCACATAAAGAGCCCTCTTTACATCAGAAGCCCCCCTTCACATCAGGAGCATCCCTTTCATATCAGAGCCCCCCCTTTCACATCAGAGTTTCCCCTTCACATCAGAAGCTTGCCTACATCATGGAAAGGCATGGCACTGTGTGAAAATTTCAAGGCACCCCTGAGAAAGGCAGAAGAAACCAAAAAGGTGCCACGGCACCCTGGTTGAGAAGGGCTGCCTAACACTGAAAACTGTACATTACTTTTATTTAATGAAGCAAACTGCAGATCACGGAATGTGTATTGTTGTGCGCTACAGTGTGGGCACATAGCCTGCTACTACAACAGTGCATGTGCATGATGTTCAATATTAAAAGCACCACACGTATGCAAATCAATGCACATGCGTTTTACCAAGTATTAATGCAACACAACTTTATGAAAACTAAACTATTGTACGGCCCTCAGGACATATCCATGGCCACACTTGCAGGGGTCCCCAACTTTTTAGACTAAGGGCAGGTTCATTGTCTGTCACTCTGTTTGGAGGCTGGAGTATGGTCAGCAGGGGTAAGAAAATGCCCTTCAGAGGTCAGTGGGAGTAAAAATGCTCCTATGTTGGTCCATAGGAGTCATCTATTAGTACATTGGCTTTGAGTGGACTGACACTTTAAATACCTCCTCAGGCTCAGTTCTGCAAATGTAATTTTTTTCCCTTTTGGAAACTAAGCGTTTTGCCTAGCACAGTATATACACAATGTTTAATGGTTTTGGTGCCCAACACAGAAAAGGTGTAAAGGCAAATGTACACTGTAATGTGTTGCTTAATTTTATTTTAATCATCATAATACAACATAACTAAAATTATACATACCGGTATATAATTAAGAACATATTGTGATCACTGTTTTCATCATAAACGTTATGTAAAAAAATGATTCAGCATTAGTTTATTTTATTACACAATAGAAATTAAACTGTCACATTCTGGATTTATGGGCTCTTATATAATCTGTTCCTGGTTTCTAAGGGGTCATGTTGGCTGGCCAGAATGGAAAGTCAGATACACTTCTGACTAAACATACAAAAAAGGCTTCAGTTTCAAATAGGAGGTAGTGAAAAAATAATTCTAATCAAAAATCCAATTAAAGCATAAATAAAGAATATAATGAAGGGCTGAACAAAAAGATAATGCTCCCTCCTATGCTGGTCATGTGACCAAAAGCCAAGGCACTTTCTCATGTGATCTCTGCCGAAGGGGTAATTAACAGTTCAAGTGATCACCCCTTTAGTAGAGATCATGCAACCAAATGCCTTGGTTTGTATTAACATGTTGGGCACAGAAAGGAGAGGATAGCAGAATTTCCTTCAGGCAAAGTTAACCGTTTTGTTATTCCTTATTTGTATTAATGCACCCCAGCAAAACTGTGAGCAGAGAGAATGGCTATAAAGTTCCAAGAAGATGTTTTTGCTATCCCTGTAGTGTAGGGTATATTTTTTTTCAAAAGGAGCTGCTATGTGATCATGGAGGGGAAATATGTATGACATTGTTATGCAATCACTGTATCTTAATGCATTTAATAATAAGACAATGTCAGCCTTTAAGGTGAACCTGTGGCAATACCAAATGTTTTGAACTGACATATGCATGACAAACCAGAAATAACCAACCCCTGGGACACATAAAGACTAGGGATCCACTGATACCGGTTTTTTGGTATCGGATACAAGTATTCACCGATACCGAGTACCGATGCCGGCATCCTGAGGTATCGTGGGGGTATCGAAGCCAGGCGGCGGGTCATGATCTGCCGCCCAGCTTCCTGATTGATCAGGAAGCCAGGATGCCTTGCAGTGTTGCTAGGCAGCATGAAGCCGGCTTCCCAGCCAATCAGAAATCTGGGAGGCAGGTCATGACCCGCTGCCTGCCTCCCTGATTGGCCGGGAAGGTGGCTCCATGCTCCCTCTCAGCATTGCTGGTCAGAGGGAATCTCCGTCTGACCGGAAATTCTGGTATCAGGGTAAGTATCGGAGCATTTGGGCGACTCGCCCAAATGCTCAGTATGGGCACCAATACTAATACCAGTATCGGTATCGGTGCATCCCTAATGTAGACCTTCTCACCACTTCCTAATGAGAACAGTAATGCCCTCCACCTGTGTCTCCAGACATGTGCCATCGGCAAACTATGAGCTGCAGTCATCATCTCCAGACATATGCCATAGGCAAACTGTGAGCATTAGTCATCATCTTCAGACATAAACCATGGGCAAACTGTGAGCAGCAGCAAGTCGCTTTATGCACACCCTTTTCTGAAGGTTTCTGTATGGCACTGCACTGACAGATCAGGCAGATATAGCTATGTGTTGTCACTTTAGGCTATATGCCATGTATTTTAGTTTGTTATCTTTGTCATTGCCACAGGACATATTAATCCTGACCCCAAAGTCCAGCTTTCTAATTGGTTAGCTTGTTGCCCTAAAACTGTCCCAGCTGCTTCTAATTAAACGTAGCTGATTTATTTGTATGAAATGTATATATTTCTTAAACCACTGTGTGTTTTGAATACACTCTTAAGATTCTCTTTATTAAGATGAGATCAGTACTGCACATAAGTCAAGCTGACATTTCCACCGATTTCCATCATGTCGATCTGGTTGGAAGGTAGGCGATGAACATAGTTGAAAAGCTTTGTTCCATTTGAGTAGACACCCACGACTCCTCCTTCGTTCCTGATTTCCATCTGTAATGAAAAGTGAATGTTTAGTTACAGAGGTCCTCAGATGGTTCTTTCTGAAGTCTACTATCTGTTTTTCTCACCTGAAAGTTTTGTCCTGGATAGAATGGCATATATGAGAGCTGCCTCTCTTCGGGACCCCAAGTGCCTCTGTCCTGGGTATTCCTTACTATTGTACTTTCTTTGAAGCGAGGATTGATATGCACATGAATATTTCTCGTTCTGCTATTTAGAAGGTTGACATTGAATCTACAAAAGTTACAAAGTATAGAGGACATCACTATAAACTGCTTTACATCAGTGTTCTGTGCAAACAGAAAAAAATACCCAAAAGCTTCCCAAAGGAACCACTGTTATGTGAGTAAGCAGCCTTAAAGGGAATGTGTAATAGTTGTGTCCATTATTTTCCTATTGTAATATGGACTTACAGTTTAATTACAATTTAAAATTTCTGTCCAAAAATTATGACATATTATATATTAATAGTTTGCATTCTTTCTTTAAATCAAAAACATTAAATAAATAAATAAATGTAAGTTATCTCTCTACCATTTCCTTTACTAGAAGTATGTAATATGGCAATCTACCTAAACCATGCAATCAATATGTAGGCTCATGTAGTACATAGTAGTTGGTAGATTGTACAGTCATAATTGCGACTTCTGGCAATCTTCAAATCCCATGCCTAGAATCTTTCAGCAGGCCACACCTGCACAATTGATACCAAATGATTTCTATGGGACTGTTTGTCAAGGCAGGAGACACTTCAGAGACAGTCCCAAGAAGTCTTTAGGGATTCATTGCACAGGCACAGCAGATGGAAAGAAGATTTTGGCTGCAGAATGTGAAGATTGCAACAGGTCACAGCAGTGAGATTCAGGTAAATATACATCTGGGCAGGAGAGAGTGGGTTACTTAAGGCAGGAAGGTTAAGGGTAGTTTATGTAAGAGTGTGCTTATTTTTTAACTCCCAGGAAGAATGTACAGAGACAGTAATGTATATGGCCAGACAACTAAAGAAGCATTTGCAAAATGGTATGTCTTTTTTTATTAGCACGTATATAAAAATAGAGCATTGCTGCATTGTCAAGCTATATGACACCGAGGCCTATCTAATAAAGGTTCCTAGAGAAGTTTTCAATGCAGACAATCACACGTGCACTAAAAAGGGCAGCTGAAGAATTAGGGCATATGAATTTCTGTGGGACAATAATGAGAGTTCCTATTTCAGATACTTTTATTTTTTTGGGTTCCAGTGGGGTTTTTGATTAAGCTTTGGAAACCTTAGGCCAGCCCATCCCCGGTTACCAAAGACAAAGTGCTGACATATTACTACCACGCACCTGTCTGCTCCATGATGCACAGCTCCGGAAATTACAATGCTTTGGTTATTGGCAAAACTTGTTGGGAAAGCAGCTTGAAAAGGCATCACCTAGGTTAAAAAATAATATATATACATTTTAATAAATTTCAGTCAAGTCGTATGAAGCTCCTTAAGGTTATCCTACTTTAAACTCATATCTTGTTTTATAATGGTAAGGCAAGTTACCTTCTAGATCCTTACATCTTTCGAGGATCCCAGCAGAACGATCTCCCTGTATAAGTATCTGACCATTCACCACTTTACCATGGAGGCTTACTGTCCCTAATTTAATTCCCACCCACCTCTGCCATAATACTCATCAGGAGGACTTAGGTCCAGATTTCTTACCACCAGGGTTTCTACCAGATAAAACCAATATATTCAACCCACCCATATCTATTGTAAATTTAAGTTAATGCTATGTGATCTTTCTTTGGGAATAGTTATGTACAATAATAATACAATTATGATGAGGGTCCCATTCAATGCTTGTAAAAAATACCTTGACCAATTGAAGAACGGGTTAAAGAGGATGCTGCTAGTTATACATTTAAGTTATGTTTACAATTTTGGTTGGCCTGAAAAGATTTAATGTTGGAGGAAGGAGCCATGTCTCTAATTTGTGATGTTCCTGGGGGCTGATAAAAAGACCCTGAGGATTTCCAGCCATCTGAGAAGTTTCTACCCACCCTGGTCAGCTATGTTTGTCACAGCTTTATTGAAGATTAATTGTGGTTACTGATTGATTTAGTCAGATTTTTGGGGGGGTAGTTGGATGCCTGTACAATACGTATGAGAAACCTGTATACCTGGGACTGGCACATGTTTGACTTGTAATGGTTACCTGATATATATTATGCTTAAAAGTTAATTTGACCTTATTAAAAAAAAGGTGTTCTACTGTAGCCAAAGTCGCCTTCTTCGAGGTTACTGGGCAATGCACCATTCTTGGGGTGTTGATTATTAGTTGTTATGAAAATGATTCTCAGCAGTCAAGAAGGATAATAATCCAACAGGAATTTGAACCATTACATATCATGCTATATTCAGATATAGAATTTGAAAGCTAACATCTGGATTGTAGAAATGGACAATACCCCAGCATTTCTGTCACTGAGTTTGTTACACTAGCCCTTATTTCCAAAAGTATGTGCCAAGAACAGCCTAAACATACCGGATTATGCACAGCCGTGGGTCCTTTCTGTGGCTGAAAAAATAAACAAAACATAATTTGTAATTGTCAAAGAATATCTTTTAAATGCTCAGGTTAATTATATTGACATGAAATTAGTTGCTATACAATTTTAGCTTTATTTGTCATTATAAGAAAATGCAGTCATGTTTTACATACAACATGGAAGCTTACCTTCATCGCCCCAAACACTGGAAGAGCCATACTTTGTACCTAAAACAAGTATAAACAATATAATAAAAATTGGTGTTTACTCTGTCCCTTTTTATAAATTGTAAATGTTCTAAATCAGACCATATATATTTTGGATACAACAGTAAACTTAAGGAAATAATGTTACAAATGTTATAGCTACCTCTAAAGTTAATGACACGTTAATGGTTTCAATCAAAGTGGTGATAAAGAGCAAGGGTAGCCACCCATGGGTGCTTACTGTGCTGTAGGGGGAATGGGCTTGGTCTTTTCTTCCATACCTTGCTTTTTATTAGACCCTACGTACAGCTTTTCTTGGACCTTGTTTAACACTTTTGTGACTTTATGTTAGCTAAGATGACAGATCCTAGTGACATAGCTCCATGGGTACTTATAGCTAGGGATGCACCGATACTTTTCAGATACCAGTGCTGATACTTGGCATTTTCATGAGAACTACCAGGGTTGCAGCGGTTGCAGCTGGGACCTGGCTCTGGTGCTCTACCACTGTCCTGAAATCATTAGTCGATATTGTTTTAGAACAACTGTCAATATGACAATAAACAAAAATGTATCGGTACTTGTACTTGTAAGTACTTGGGCAAGTATCAGTACTTGTACTTGCAAAAATGGTATCAGTGCATCCCTTTATATATGTTTAGAAAAACAAAATCATACATTAAAACAGATGTACAAATCCCAGGAGCTCCGTGTGCTCCTTACACATGACAGCTGCCTCCTAACTTTTGAATTTTTCTTTAGTCTAGGCTGGAGCTGGAAAAGTATCTGTACATGTACTTGTACCGAGTACTGTACTTGGTATCAGTGTTATTCTGTAAATCATGTTGCATCTTTAATATGATTTCAATTAGACATAGCTCTCTCTTTCTTTGTTGTTCATCTCCAACTTTCATGGTACAGCTTTTTTGACTTACCATGGGTGCTGCATACATTGGCTGAGCCTATGGAAGAATAATATTGTCGGTCATTATTAAGAGGGAGGATATTACAATGAATTAGGTTTGCATTATATTGGCAAGCGTGTCAGTTGTTACTAAGCACTATGATGCAAAGCTTATCAGAGCAAAAGGCAAAGCTGCTTGGTTATGCTTCATATATTGTTTGTTCACAAACTATGCCGCCAACAATTTCACTTTTGCCGCCAATAATGTCCCCTATGCTTTACAATTTATATTTACTCATGTTATTTATTAAAAGGGTTGTGAAAGCATAATATAAAAGAAGACTGATGATTGTTAACATTTATATCAAGAGATTGTATACAGCTCTATGTCTGTCTGTATGTATGATAGAAGAGATAAGAAGTACGTTGCACCATAATATATGTCCCACAGAGGGCAGCACTGCTTACATCTTAGCCAGTCCAATTCAGAAAATGCATTACTATAAATCAGTCAAAATGTTTTTAAAATCATGGCATAATGTTATGCCTTATTCACTTCTGGCAATACAGATATCTACATTATGCAAAAAAAAAGTTTACAGTTTATGTAAACTCTAACAATAATCTCTTATTTACTCCCTTTTGGTTTGCTAAATAAACCATTGAAATGGTTTTGTTATATTTGTTTGATGATTTGTTTGCAAAAAATATCTTTTAATCTTACCAGAGATCTTGTTATTTTGATAACTTCCTGTCTGTTCTGCATTGATATCAGCTACAACTATCTATACAGTAAACTCCCCATTATCCGGCATTCAAGCAACTGGCACTCTCAAGCAAACAGCAAAACAAATCGAGGATTTTTCTTTTATTTGTCGGTGGCTTGATGCCCACTAAAATATTGACAGTTGCTTGGTGCACACTACATTTATTTAGTTGCTAATTCAATTCTTTATGTACATATTGCTGCAGTCAGGCTGCTAGATTCTGCGGTCTGCAGCAGAATGTAAACAATGGAGAGCATTGGCGATAAGAACTGGATTAATAACTGAGCGTTGCAAAACAGTGACTCTGGTGAGAAAACTTCAAACCAGTGTAACCAGTGCCCTGATCATATAGAACTATCCACAGTTGAGCTTAGTGAGGTGAAATGGCACTCACTTGGTAATGGAATGATTGACGTCCTTCAGGAGATTTAATGCTGCGATTATAGGTGAAAACCTACTTGATGTAGGTTGTCTCGTGCGGTGCTAGGTGCAGCTCTGTGATGGTCTGTTCTGGCTGGTTAGTAGCTGGCTGGATCAGTCTGGAGAAGTGAGGAGCTTGTCCTGTCATTACCCGCCGCCCGGCTTCTTGATTGCCAGGGAAGCCGACTCCATGCTGTTTGGCCGGCTCCATGCTGATTGGCTGGGAAGCTGGCTTCCCAGCCAATCAGCATGGAGCCAGTCAAATAGCATTGAGCTGGCTTCCCGGCCCCGCCCAGGTTCCTGAATGGCCGGGAAGTCGGCTTCCCGGTCAATCAGCATCGAGCCGGCCAAACAGCCAAATAGCAATGGATCTGACTTCTTGCTCAATCAGGAAGCCGGGTGGCGAGTCATTACCCACCGCCCAGCTTCCTGATTGGCCGGGAAGTCAGCTCCATGTTCCCTCGCTTCAAAGTTCCAATATCGGGGGTAAATATCGGAGCATTTGGGTGAGATATTACAATACATTTTATTTCTTACATTCATATTGCAATGTATTTTATTTCCTTACATTTATATTGTGCAGTGCATTTTATTTTATTACATTTATATTGCAATGCATTTTATTTCCTTACGTTTATGCATTTCTTCTTCTTACATTTATATTGAATGCATTTTATTCGCTCACATTTATATCGCAATTAATTTTATTTCCTTACATTTATATTGCAATGCATTTTATTTCCTTATACTTTTATTGCAATGCATTTTATATATTTGCATAGTTACATAGTATTTGAGTTCAAATAACCTTATTTTTTATATTGTAATGCATTTCTTCTCCTTACATTTCTATTGCAATGCAGTTTATTTCCTTATAATTATATTGAAATGCATTTTTTATATCTTTACATTTATATTGCAATGCAATTTATTTATTTACATTTTTATTGCACTGGCAAATTACAGAAATCTGGGGCCAGTTTGCTCAGAAGTCACTTAACCTCCCATTATGCTTTAATGTATTATTTAGGAAGGTTTTATTATGCCTGAAGCCTAAAAATGCAAATTATTCTCCACAGGAAATGTAGTCAGACACTGGGGTCCGAGGTAAAGTAGACTTTAAACAGTTTTCCCCCTCCCTGTTATTCATTGTAACACAATGGGGTTGATTTTCTAACCTTATAAACACGCCACGAACATGTATACACCTCTGTAGTGTGTTCCCTCCCAGCATGATCTATTGGTGGAATCTAGACACCTTTGTAGTGTGTACACACCCAGCAGGTGTGTTGTGCAAAGCCCTGCATGAATTGCAAGGTGATGTTGTGTAAATTAGCTCTACGTTGTGTTGCTTGTGTTGATGAATGCAGGAATGTAAATGCATGAGCTAACCATTTTTGTCTAAACTGTGAAGCAGCATTATATATGCATCATGTGCATGATTTTTCCATATATGGCATTAGTGGAAATATGCTTTTAGAGACTTGCATGCCGCTAGCGGCGTGTAGCCTATGGCGCATGCTACATGACACGCACGTACGTAATGTGACACGTTGCTCGTGTTTGGTTGATAAATACGTTTTGCTGTGTAAAAATGCACACGCACCTGGTGCGTGTGTGTGTTTAGGTTAGTAAATCACCCCCAATAAGTAAGCAGCAGCTCTGCCTTTGCACACAATACTGTACACTGTCCGGGGAGGGGGGGTTGCCACTAATACTAATATGGGCTGCGGGGGTGGAGAGGTCACTTGTACTATACACACATTACTTGCAAAGCCCAATTACAACCATTTCCATGAGGATATGAAGAGGAAAGCTAACAAAAATTTTTAGGTTTTTGTGTTTGTATACAGCAACTGCATATGCCTGCTTCATGTATACTCGGTGTACATTGCTGGCACATGTTTGTTTTTTTAAATACCTCACCAAAGTGGAAATGGGCTTCAAGTCAATTGCCCAAAGCTGACATGAAAAGACCCTGTCACCAACCTGAGAAAAAACATGTTTCTTCTGCTTTTATATACATTGAATGCACATATATTCCAATAGGAATTTTTTTGTCGAAATTAATGGTCTGGCAATAGGCTCTCTTTAAATACAGCACTTCCAAAATACACCAAAACCTTCATCTATGGAAAATCCACGTACAGCCGCCACTTCCCATACTTCACATCACGTTTACTGCTCAATTACAGGTGCCCATTAAGAGGAAAAGAATATCAGCCAATCTAGCAGTGCACAGGCACATACTCACTGCATATGGAGTGTATGGCGGTGGTGCAGGAGTCATCTCCGCCTAAAATTATAAATTATAGCTTTAGGAAATACCATCTGAAAGTTGACATCAGGGTAGCAGCAAAGAAGAAGTGTGATGCACTAGGCTCAGCATACAGGAGGGAGAGAGCTCCAGGTGAGCATCACCAGTGTGTTTGCTCTTTGTCCAAAGAACAGGCAGGAGGCGGGGCAATGACACAACATCTGCAGGACTGCAGGCTTTGAAATGTTACCTTTATTATTTCGAAACAGCAATACAACATGGCAGGAGTGGCTGAATCAAAATAATTGATTTTGTACTATTGGTAGATAAAACTTTTCTTCTGCAAGTGTAAGAAGCTGTTTGGCTGGAGCCACCCTTTAGGCTGACTTCACATCTATGTGCACCCACTTTCATGTTTTTTTTTCCTGCATTTTCCTGCATTTATGGGTTTTCATGAATGATGTGCTCAGCTTGGCCAACAGGAGATTGTTACCAGATGAGGGGCACAATAACAATGCCTTTGTAAGGCAAGAAAACACATGTATCATGCATTTTCATTAACCTCTATGGGCCACACGATGCACATCACCAGAATAAAAAACGTAACTGAACTATTTTCTATGACAGGCCACAAAGTATATACGTGAATTAGACACATTGAAAACAATAGGATGCCAAGTGGTATGCCTTATGATTCATCATTATGTGCGCGTTATGATGCATTTAGACGCAGGTCACTTGATATCCCATTTTTTTCTTTGTATATGTCTGTTTCACAAACATATGTTGAAGCATTTCATAGAAAATAGTTACAGTTTTTCATCCGTTAATATGCTTCAAGGTGCCCATAGAAGCCAGCGGGAGTGTATAAAAATGCATGATATATCTTTGTCTGCATGGCATACAGACAAAGATATAATATTTAGAAATGAAATAGAATGTTGTTATTCCAGTTCATAGCCATGTCAGTGGTGTGACTTTATATACAGGTATCTTTGGTTTTTGTCATTGGTTTGTATACAGTATTTTAATTCAGCATACAAAAACATTTATGTAAAGCCCCCCTTCCCCACTATGACTACAACTAGTTCCCTCAATGAAGCCCAGGTAGTAAAATACTTATCATTATATCAAGCGAGGAAAGAAGAAAACTCTCTCTATATATCTTTAAAAAGTATCTCAATATTTTTTCTAAGCACGGTTGTGCTATAAAGTTTTATAAAACATAAAGAAAAAATTCCCCCAAAGAAGCACTAATGTCCGGGAAAAAACAGTTTATATCCAAAATAATTAATTTCTATAAACGCCTACTTCACCAGCAATAAATAACATAACAATAATAGAGTAAATAAATATGTATCAAAAAACAATAATCAAGCCTGCGGACCTGTCCTACGCATGTATATACAGCGGTTCCCACTGGGGGGAATTTATCAAAACTGGAGCAGACAAAATCTGGAGCAGATATGCATTGCAGCCAATCAGCTTCTCTCTCTCATTTTCAAATCTTACCTGAGTAAACTATAGAGAGATGCTGATTGGTTGGCATGGGCAACTGCTCCAGATTCTGTTTGCTCCAGTTTTGATAAATTCCCCCCAGTATATACACAGATAACTGGTATAGAAATTGATTTTTGGTTATTTGCTCAGACAGGACTGCATGGATCAAAATTAGGAGCTTGTAAACAAGTATTCAGCTGTATCACCAATCGTTGGTATGCTGAAGTTGTTTTTGTGGTTTGCGTTGATATTGTATCCATATATAACTTTGTATCTATTCCTCGATGTTTATGTATACGATAAAGGAATAAACATAGAGTATTGCAAACAAAATGTTCAGAGTTTCAGCATAAATCAATATTCACTTTTCTGTCCCATTATTCATATGAGTATAATGGTCAGGGAATTGGATTCAAGCAGAGACTCTCTCGTCCTGAGGTGCAAGCAAAGCAAGCACCCATGCTACATCAGAGTTTCATGTGTTATACAAGCAGGGTATCATCCTCAAATGCATATGTATCCACACGTAACAATTTTTGCATATGTTTCCCGTATCCTATTGTGCTCAAAGAGACAAGCATGGGGCGTTACAGTAAAATGTTCAGAACTCCAATATTGCACAATATCCACATTTTGTCTCTCGTAGTTTGCAAACATATAGTGTTCCTCAAAAACAGGTTTCATTGGAAAAGAAACAGAAATACTGTGCGTCCTGAGGCACGGTGGTGCCTCTTTTTGAGGAAAACTATGGGGGCTATCTATTCATTCCTATGGACCAATCCATAGTAATGACTGAGGCAAGCAGCGCACATGCGCAATAGGACCTGTAAATGCAATTTTTTTCATCTGTAGGCTTGCTCTGGATTACTGAATCAGAATATAAAGTAGTTTTAAAGAAGCTCAGTAATGGCGGCCCCCATACTTCTCCTAGTACAGGTTTTATTACACTGAAGCATTGGTGGTACTTACAGGGGATGGGTGAAAGGTGACACAGGAGAGGCTGACATCACCGCTAACTGTAATGGACTGGATAGTCTGATAAGACACACGGTGGCGATATTCTAACAGGAACTGCCCATTCGCTGTGACCTGAAATGAATAAAATTACAAAAGTAACTAAATGTGTTGGAATTTTCGAAAACTGTTCCAGAAATTCAAACGTTTAGATTTTCCCCCATAATGGTAACCAGGAACAACAGAGAGGACAGATCTTCCTAATGGTAAGACAGACAGCAATTAAAGGCTGACAGACGTTTAGATACACTTTAAAGCTTGAATTCTGGTACTGAATGACAGCTGCAGAGACAAAGAGGGGCCAGAGTTCTGTACATGCGAGTAAACAAGAGGATGGTGCAGCAGTGGTATCAGTCAGTAGCCATCACACCTTACAAGTTCTAAGCTGATTCCAGTGTAGGAGATCCCCAATCCCCACAATATGCAAGAGATATATCAATCAAATGAATAAAAAGATATCAGTTTTGGTTGAAGATATTTATAACTTTTAGCTTTGGTACACTCACCTGAAATGCATGTCCTACCACAGCAATGGAGATATCAAAGAACGCATTCCTTTGGAAGGGCATATGGTTCTTCCTCTCTTCAGAGCCCCAGTTCTTGCTCTGCATGGTATTACACACAAGCACCTGTTCATCAAAACGAGGGTTGAAGTGAAATGCGACATCATTGTTGAAACAGACAAAGTTTATGGCCCATCTGTAATAATAAAAAAAAAAAGACAGGGATACCATTTATTCATTACAGGTATTTATATAGCACTAACAATTTACCAGTCCCTACCATCAAGGAGCTTTTAGTCTAAGGCCTCAATCTAACATTCTAAGGCAAATTTAGACATGATTACATGCAAATAATGCAAACTCCAAACAGATAGCATCCTAATTGGGATTTGAACCAATGAAGCCAGTGCTGTTATACAGAAGGGCTAACCCCTGAGCCACATCATACCCAGCTAGAAGACAAAGGTAAGCTTCTTGTGATACTAAAGGATGGCAGATAGGATGAACTAGATACAGTGTTTTCCATAAGTGTTGAAGGAGAACTATTGAGAGAGTAAAATGTACTGACTCACAGGTCACATGCTGGCTTTGGGGTACAGGAGTATATTAGTAAATGTCCTCTTCTGACCCAGAAGAGAACTATAGGTAAAAAAAAAGGTTTGGCCATAGTTCACTTTTAAACTTCCTGGACCACATAATCCCAGCCTAGAATGAAAATGTATTTTATTGGAACCTTTACTATACAACTTAACATTTTAATTCTTTTTAATTCCCCTGAAAAAAAAAATGTTTCTTGTTTTCATACAAAATTAACCCCCCCCCCCA